GGCTAAAGAGTCTTGGATGAAACTAACTTCATTCTTGGAGATGTGCTCGCCAACAAAAGTCGTGTAAAAATGGGATGTGGAAAGAGCATGGCAGCTGACAGAGGGGTGAGGAGAAGAAATTGTCCATGGAGCTAACTATAAGGGTCCACTTATGGAGTTGATGGTGTTGCCCTCGCAGCAACCAACACATGACCAGTATCATATGGAACTGAGTGTGCAAAATGTCAAACCTGACTGCTCCTATGCCGTGTAGCAAAATAAACGGGCAGGGAATAGAGGCATCAGTGGATCAACTACTGTGTACAACCGTACTGCCAATGTGACATCTGTGGGGCACGTCTTCCTCCTCAAGAATTCCGATAAGCCAGCATGGGCTATTGAAAGGATTCACAAATCTCAGCAGTACAGGCGAAAGTCCCCGGAGTCCCAATTCCCATTGTACCGTACTCGCAATTGGTTGGCCTGGTAGGTTGCGTTATAGCGGCCAATAGTTTAGATGCAGGCCGTACAAAAATAGACAGTTATTTTTTGGGTTCGGAGCAGGTCCTTACAAGTTGGTTGGTCGGTAGCACTTGAAAGTTTGACTGGTGGTACGGGTAGTCATCAGTCGTAGCTCATTTTCGAAGTCCGGACTTTTCGGGATGTTGGAGGCCGACAACGGCTTAGGAGCAAGGGCTGGAAAGTGGAAGTCTCGAAGGCAGTGCTGTCCGATACAAAAGTCTGCCGGCACTTAGACATCAACACATTATGCTTTGCACTCGGTGCGGAAGTGATGCTGGGGTCCTGCGTGTTGATGCGACGACTGAGCAAGGTGAAGTGAGCATGGTAGGAGGTAGTTGACATCGCCTGACACCTTAGCTATAATAGGAGAGATGGAGTCAATGCCCTAATTAGTCAAAGTCAATGCTTTGTAGGTGAAAGTCGACAAGTTTGGGGGAGGTTGACATCTTAGGTTAGCACTGAGGTAGCCCTCATTGGTAGGAGGTTGTGGAATGGGATCTTACCGGATAGACCATTGCACGATACCGCCACCATGGATGGTCTCCCGATGTATGCTCTCCTCCCTCTTCTTGGTCCTTAGGTGCCCTTCTTGCTGTTCATTTTCCCATTGGGGCTGTTGTGGGCCCGTAAAATGTCCCCTATGTCAACATGGAGTGGGAAGGAGATTGCCCAGCCGGGGGAGAGGTGTACGAGAGGAAGGAGGAGCAGCAGAAGGCAAAGGAGGAGAAAACGACAAAAAAGGAAAAGAAGAACATAGGTAGAGGGAGCAAAGAAGAAGGCGAAGCGGAAGGGAAGGAGGAGGAGACAAATGAAAAATAGGAAACAGAGGAGAGAGATGAGGAATCCGAGTCAGAAGAAGGGGAAGAACAACAGGTGGAGAGGAAGAAGAAAGAAGCGGAGGAGAAGCAGGCAATGGAAAAGGAGCAGACACAGAGATATTGTTGGTGTCAGTGTAGGGGAGTTGCAGGGATAGATGGTGTATGTCCTGCCCCTGATGTAGGGCGTCGCCGCGCGGGACACGAAGCGAGTGCATGTTCCTGCAGAAAACGGCCAGGTTCATCGGTTTGCTATGAATAGTAACGAGTGTATTTTGCCACCTTCCGTGGGCAGATGCACTTGTTTCGTTTTCGTTTCGTGTGCAGTGCGGCGAGACTCGTAGGTTGGATGCTCGACTTCAAAGTGTGACCTCACTCCTTACCCGAATGGAAGACGATGAAAAACAACTGCAGTAATCATTTAAAAACGAAGGCCGACAAGGAGTCAGCTTGACAGCAGGCTCAACGGCTGGCAAGGTGGAACCAGTTGGCAAATAGGGTGAGAGAAGATTTGAAGGAGAACCAACTGCACTCAGGACTGTCGATGATGCAGTAGTAGCCCTGACACAGATCAGAGAGTTGCAGAAGTGGCAGTGGCAACATATGGCCAAAGGCTGTTTAGAACAACAAATGGAGCGCACCGCATCAGTCTTCGGCTGACGAATAGTGGAGCTAACTACAGTGTTTCAGGCGAGGTTGAAGGTGCAGACAAAGAGGCTGGAGAAGAAGATAGATAAAGACGTGGAGAAGATGAGAAGTCGGGGAGGTGGAGGAGATCATGATGGCAATGGAATGGCAATGGCTATGGAGGATGAGATAGGAGAAGGCTGAACAGCAAAAGAGAAATGATGACTGGCAGCGGGTCCGCTGAGCATTGGGTCAGGATGGTGAGGTTACCTGATCCCTGTTCCGACAAAAAAGAGGAAGGTTTGGCCACATGGGTTGCTGAGGTCCATACCTACATGAATGTGGAGAAAATTCATCCATGCCATAAGGTAGCTCCAGCCACCGTGACTTTGAAGGGAGATGCTAAGTCATGGGTGACGAGCCAGGTGCACACTACTGTGTATGGGGATAAGACCTATGCCTACTGCGAGACATTGTCCTTGAATCAGTTCCTAGCCGACCTAACAAATAAATTTAGGGAAGAACAAGGGGGCCATCGCAGGAGATATTATCATGAACATCAATAGAAAAAGCTGGAAAAGCGTGGACGCCCCAGTAAGGAAGATGGACGGGCTGCTGCAAGTTGTGGGCCATGGTGTCATCGACGAGCAGGCATTGAGGCCATTAGCTACGACGATGCCGAAGGGGATCAGGAACATCCTTGTACTTGATCAGGTTGAGCGAATGACCTTCAGGAAGTAAAAGCTAGGGGCAAAGTCAACCTCTCGCCCTGTTTAGAATGTCCCTGTGTGAGTTAGAAGAACTGGAAGCAGCTGGATGACTAGGTAGACACGGGGTGGATTAGAGTGAGCTCGTCGTCCTACGGGGCACCTTTACAGTTCGCGGCTCTAAAATTGTGCATTGGTTGTCGCGACTTGAATGCCCTTACTGTGAAGAACGCTGAATCTTTACCTCGTATTGACGACCCGTTAGAAAGATTGCAGGGCCGTAAAGTACTTTCCCAAGATAGACTTGAAGTCTGGGTATCTTCCGATACAGATCAAAGGATCAGCATAAGATGGTGCTCAGAGCTGAAGAAGAACGCTATGAATTCAAGGTTATGCGTTTCAAATTGACGGACACCCTTGCAACATTTCAACGGTGCATGAATGATATGTTTCATGGCTGGTTTCACATATTTGTTGTAGTCCATCCGACCACATCCTGATCTTTAATAAGACCTTAAGAGGGGCACCAAGAGCACTTGCAGAAAGTACTAAGTAAACTGAGAGAAGCTAAGCTCAAGTTGAATGTGAAGAAGTGCGAATGTGCACATTTCTAAGTGCTGTACCTAGGACATTGTGGATTGAGATTGTGTACGACCCGAGGACAACAAAGTTGCAGCGATTGGAGACTGGCCAACCCTCACGTATCTGACTCAATTGCGATCGTTCCATGGACTGCCTAACTGCTACTGTAGGTTTGTGCGGAACTGTAGCCCATTCCTGCACTGCTAGACGATTGTTCAAGAGATGATGTCCCAACTCTTAAGTACCTATCCTCTGTTTCATGTGTCTAAGTTACTGCTTGTAGACTTAGGCAGGTCACTCCCTTCCTGGAGGTCGATGATAGCTTGAGACATGGATGGCAGTTATGACAATGAGCGCATAGTTGATCACTCAGCTTTCCAGACAGGACGGAGGGAAATATGCCAGAAGCAGTTCAAAGTAAAATGGCAGTATCAAGAACCAGAAGAAGATATACGGTTCCCCAAGGATCAGTTACCTGACACTGCATCCAGAATCGGTTCACACTGTGAACAAGCTCTCTGGGGAGTCAGACACGCAGATTAGCAAATTTATGTCTCGGAGGACCTTGACTTTAGGCTGGTGGGAGTGCAGCGGCTCACAAATGTCAGTAGCACCGATCACAGTCCCAGAGTCCCAATTCCCATTGTACTGTAGTCCCATCTGGTAGGTCCAATAGGTCGCGTCATAGAGGCCCGTAGTTTAATGCAGGCTGCACAAAGTCGACAGTTACTTTTAGGGTCCGTAGGTCTGTACAGGTCGTTACAAGTTGGTTGGTCGACAGTGGGTACCAGCTCATTTCGGAAGTTGGGACTTTTCAGGATGTTAGCGGTTGAGGAGGAAGGGTAGGAAAGTTGATGTCTCGAAGGCAGCTGCGTATAAAAGGCCGCGGGCGGTCAGCATATTATGCTTCACACTCAGTGCGGAAGTGGTGCTGCTGTCTTGTGTGTTGATGCGACGACTGAGTGAGGAGAAGTGAGCAGAGTGTGAGTGTAGCGGATGGCGCCTGGCGCCATAGCTATTGTAGGAGAGAAAGATGAGCAAGAGATACCGGAAGACATTCAGAGAAGAGAGAATATATGTGTGAGGCTTACTTGCATTTGTCGAGCGGGTCGCCATAGCCACAAGGAGGACGAGTAGGTAATTCAGTTGCCTTGTGTATTGTTGCTGAGACTATTTTGGGTTCGAATCACTTGTGTGATTCTACTTGTTCGGCTTGTGTGAGACTTGTGTGTGTGTCCATGCATGGTGGTCTCATTCCACTGCAAAGGACTGGCTAACGTAGTTACGAGTTGCTGTGCAACCGGTCGAGGCATTGCAAATAAACTGTCTGATTTGAATGCTGCTGTACATCAGCGAACAATCTTCTTTTTTGTACCGCTGAGTAGAATGATACTACTCTTTATTCCAACTCCCTGTGCCTGTAATCACTGTCAATTACATGCCAAATCCTTTGTCTCCCTGGGACCTTGCATTGTTGTTTTCCATTTTTGTTTTTTGTTCAGCACGTAATGGACATTGTTGGGAGGTAAGCATTTGCAACACATACACGCGCTTGTCCCCTTCCTCACTATAGACCCACATGGACGCACACCAGAACTGCAAATATCAACCCTATGGCCCTGATCTGATGTCCAGGTACACAGCATGGATTGCTTGGAATTTCAGGGAATGATGCATTTTTTTCACACTGTTGCTCTAATCCATCATTGTTTCGTCTGCTAAAGTATGAACTGATGCGAGGTGTAATGCTTTTCTTTCTTGTGAGCAGGCTGTTGCAGAGAGTTCTCCAACGATTTTTAATACAAGTGTCCCAATGTTCAACGAAAAGATTTGGATAGCATTGCATGATGAGAACAAGGCCGTCAGGGAAAGGGCTGCTGAGGCATTGGGTGCATGTCTTCGCATTGTACAGACTCGCGAGACAAGATGGCGCGCTCAACGGTAAGCTTTGCCAGCCTCATGTCTTGTTTTCCCCCCTGATGAGTGTGACATGGGCTCACATCCCGACTCTCTCAGATTGATTTCGTCTTTTTGCCTTTAAAAAAAATTATGTCAAGTGAGCTAGGAGGAGCAGGGGGTGGATGGGCGGAGGAGGGCGGGCATAGGGCGTTTGGGAGGAGGTAGGAGGTCAGCAAAGGATAACGGGCTGGGAAGGTCGGGCAGAGGAGCTCAGGTGGAGGAAGGGAGGAGGTGGGGCGGAGGAGGTCGAGTGCAACAGGTTGGGTGGAGGAGTGGTGGAGGTCTGGCTTACTCTTCGCAACCAAGCTGGACTCTGTCTTTCTCTCTCTCTCTCATACCCTGCACAGGGACACCCATAAGTCGAGAAAGGTAGAGTGGGGTGGTGGTGGTGTCTCTATCTTTCTCATTAGGTTGATTCTCTTCCTTCTTTTGTCAAAAAAAAGAGCAGGTGAAGTTGGTTACGGTGAGGGGGCGAGCCGGTGGAGGAGGGCAGGTTGGTGGAAGATGGCGGGCCAAGGAGGCTGTGCGGAAGAATGTCGGGCGGCACAAGTCGGGTGTAGGAGGGGAGTGGGCTAGGCAGAGGAGGGAGGAGGAGGGAGGCGGAGCAAGGAGGTCGGGTTCCCACTTACATGCAACTCAGGCTCTCTCCCTCTCTCATGATCTATAATAGTTGCTTAGGTCTCTTGCTCTCTCTCTCATGCACCCGAGTTCCGTGTAAGCACGCAGTCTTGTGTGTGCGCACAAGGTCCCTGTGTAAGCACACAATGTGCTGTATGCGGGCGCAAAGCTTGCTGTGCGAATTCCCTGCTTGTCATGTTCATCCAAGACGAATGAAGTTGCAAATAAGCAGACTTCATCATCATCCAGATCCAGATGCAGGCCTGCTGACCTTTCCCACTCAGGATCCCAATATCGATGACCGTTCTCAGGTATTGGATCAATTGATCCCTCCTCTCTCTCTCTCTTCCCTCTCTTGTCTGTGTGCGTGTGTCTTTGTGTGCGCCCACCGTTGAGCAGAGTTGCAACTGCGGATCGTGGTGTAGAGTAGCAGAGTTGCGCTGTATTCCCGCAAAATTGCCCACACACTATAGCAATGCAGGGCACACACCTCAAAATTGGCTGTGTGTGGTAAAAGCGTGCGGAACTGTATGGGGCCTGAAATTGGCCGCGTGTGTTACCAAGCCAGTTCTGCGCGCGGTGCCTCTCAGCGCCGTTCCGCTACCGGCCCAATGGTGCGTGATCATTTACTAAACGGTCAACACACAATCTGGACCATCTGGGACAACTCCAATGACGGTCCAGATTGTGTCCTGATGACATGGAAACAATCAGCGGCTTGTTCGGGCAGTCGGGCAGGGGGGAATCAAAGGGCCGAAATTGTGACTTGGTCACAGGCCACGAAATAGCAGTTGTGATAATGTAGTGATGTTGCCAATGGTAGCACAAGTATGACATTGCGAGCTAATGTAAAGCACCTGATGAATCAGCTTGTTGGGAAGGGGAGACTCCTAGAACCAAACCACACACAAAACCAACCTGAAGCACTTCAGCAGCCCTAGGTTCACCAGGCCATTTGGGCTGGATGGCCAGTCTGTAACTGTCTGGATTCATTCATCTGGAATGTTGGATGTCCTGAAGAAGACTGTTTGGCATATGGAGCTGGTATGTTGAGCTGGTTTGGCATGTGGAAACTGGGTAGAGGCTGAATCTGTTCTTATTTTAGGTCGTTATTTTTTTCTTGCCTCATTTCCTTTTCATCCCTTTTTGGGGGATGGGTTTTTCGGTGTGGAGGGGGATGGGTGGGGGTTGACAGAGAAGGGGTTAACAGAGCCCTAAATTATCAGGATTTTTTCAGGGTCATTATAACAAACGTTCCATACCTTTTACGCCAGACTTGTCACCAGTCCATACCTTGGGGCTGAATAGTGGGGGTTGGTGGATTGACAGAGAAGAGGTTAACAGAGCCCTAAATTTTCAGGATTTTTTCAGGGTCATTATAACAAACGTCCCATACCTTTTACGCCAGACTTGTCACCAGTCCATACCTTGGGGCTGAATAGTGGGGGTCCCTGTTAACCTTTGGTGGGTTGACATCTTGGCAGATGATTGGCTTTTTGGTATGGATGGGGATGGGTGAGGGCAGTGTAGCATTGTGTTCTCGTTTGGTGACCGAACCTGAACGTTCATGACTGAACGCGAACGAGCGCCAAGGAGCTTTTCAGAAAAATCCAGGAAAAATATATGTTACTAGATGACCCGTTGCGGCTTCGCCCGCAAAAACAGAAAACTAAAAAGCACAAAAGAAAGAAAAAGCATAAGGAACTGCCCTATCATATGCCGCTTCTTTCACAAAAACAAAAAGAAGAGCCTGAGAGCAGACAGAAATCCACGTGCAAGAAATAGGAGGGAATACCACCGAAGCTGTTTTGTTTCTTTATCTGCGAGTGTTTTGTTTGGGCAGCCGATACCTTTGCAGCATCGTTTTTTTTTTTGTGCTGTGCAAGAACTGTTAACTTTTATGAGAAAATCCTGTGCGTTGTCCCGTTGACGTTTTTGCTAAAGATTCCGATTCAAACTTTTGTTTGCTATGTCTCTGAATGTGTTTGTGATAAAGCGATGCATGTATGCCCTGTGCTTACTTGCCGAGTTTTGACTCTATGTGTGCAAGTGCATGCGCTTGTGGGTGAGTCTCAGTTTGGTCGGCTCCAAAACTGATGTGCACAAGTGCATGCGCTTGTGGGTGAGTCTCAGTTTGGTGGGCTCCGATGATGTCATTGATGATTGGCCCGGGGAAGTTGTTGGAAGTCGCCTCCAACTATAGGAGTGCCACTGATGTGCAGCAGGTTTTGCATTGTAGGAATGAAACAATCAGCATTCAATCTTCTTGCTTGGCAGTTGCTCTTCATGGGGGTGGGGACCTTGTCGGGAGTAAAGTGTTGACATGGGAGCCATAATGCCGGACATTCATTTTGCAACATTTCCTTGAAAGCAAAAGGCAAAAAAGAAACGAAGTAGCACGTGCCCGCCCCCTTCTCTCTCTCTCTCTCTCTCTCTCTCTCTCTCTCTCTCTCTCTCTCTCTCTCTCT